GCCCAGGCTCCGGATGCGCAGGCTCAGCGGCCATGGCTCACGGGCCCAGCCGCTCCGCGGCATGTGGGATCCTCCCAGACTGAGGCACGAACCCACGTCCCCTGCATCGGCAGGCGGACTCCCAACCACTGTGCCACCAGGGAAGCCCCATCTCAATGCTTCTTGATCTTTAGTTGGTAGAAACAAAATTGCCCAATTTGATCTACAAATATGTTCTCAAGAGTAGCCGAATAGTGTAAAAGAAAAGTTTGGTTGTATACTAGATGCCCTACATTATGCTGACTTTTAAAAATGCAGACATAAATGACCTAGATCCTGTCTTCCAGGAATTCATAGTAGAATTAGAAAGATTAAAAAGTACAGTATCAATTACCCAAAAAGGCAAAAGGCAGTATAAACATGATGGAGAAACAATTTTCAGGAGTGTCATCTAACCAAGTTTGCACACTTTGGGAATGTTTCACAAGTGATTAATGGTTTAACCCAACATTTAAAAGGTGTAGGGGTGAGCCACGTGGCATTCCAAGTTGAGCAAATACCATATGCAAACCACAGAGGCTGAGGAGAACTGACCCTTCCACATTGCAGAGTGTTGGTGTGGCAAGCAATCAAGCTGGAAGGACAGATCAGAAAGAGTTCTCTAGGACATCCTGAAGATAGTGGGAAGCCAGGGAAGGATTTTAAATAGAGAGTGACATACTATTTGCACTTCAGAAAAATCACCTTTGCAATTCTGTGGATATGATATGTAGGAGATGAAAATGGAGACGGAGAGCGAGGTTAAACGGCTCTTTGGGTATCCTGGTAGATTTATGGTTACCATCTGAACTGTGGTAATGATAATGATGAAGAGGAAGGAACAGATTCAGGAGCTATTTAAGAGAGAGTTGGTTCGTTGAGGAAATTGAGCAACTGGGAAAGTGTTGAATAAATCTCAATTTCTGGCTCAGCTAACTGAGAGGATTAGGTGTTGTAAAAAATTTTGTGAATTCGGTTTGGGGAAGTTTCAATTTCCGTTGCCTGACTCATTCCCATAAAAAATATCTACGGAAAAGTAGCCCTCAGACCTATGGATGTGAATTTGAGGGTCACTGACTGTAGATCAGTAGTTGAAGCCGTGAGCATGATTGAGATCATCCAGAAGGAGAGCCTATTGAATAGGATGAACAAACAGTACGTTGGAAATTCTCAGTATTTTAACAGTGAGAGGAGGGGGAATCTACAAAGGAAGCTAAGTACTCAGAATATGAGAGACAAACCAAAGAAAGCATGTGACTGCAAGCTAGGGAAACTGTCAAAAAAGGAGAAATACAAAGTGACCAATAGGGCTAACTACTGAAAAGGGGTAAATTGAAATAGGAGCTGAGTATATTCTCCATTGTAAAGATGATTGGTGATTTTTATGAAAGCTGTTGAAGTAGAAAACTGGTATACTTGATGAGCAAATAATTGGGCAGAAGAGGTTGAATTACGATAAGTATTCCAAGTTACACAAATCTAGGAATCACTTAAAGAGGATGGCAAAAATTTTACACCAATATGCTACATTACGTTTTGCACTAGAAAAAAATAAAGGTTAAATAGAAATAGAAATGTAAATGTGGGCTATTTACAGTTAACGATTTTGATTTTTCAAATTTGTGTATGTGTAGATATGTTTTCCAAACCTGAGTTCTGTCTCTTCCATGAATTGAGAGAAAGACTGATGTCTACACTGGCTTTAAAAATTTCAGACTGTCATTTTCTTGGTGGGGGGGAGCGCGGATTTTTCTTTCCATTTTATTTTCATGCTTTGCCTTTTAAAAAATAATCACTGAGGGTCTTCCCTGGTGGCGCAGTGGTTGAGAGTCCGCCTGCCGATGCAGGGGACATGGGTTCGTGCCCCGGTCCGGGAAGATCCCACATGCCGTGGAGCGGCTGGATCCGTGAGCCCTGGCCGCTGAGCCTGCGCGTCCCGAGCCTGTGCTCCGCAACGGGAGAGGCCGCAACAGTGAGAGGCCCGCGTGACACACACACACACCAAAAAAATCACTGACATTGCCCTTGTCAGATTCCATACATAATTTTGTATCCTGCTTTTCAAATATATCATTATAATAAGTTTTTTCTTTCTTTTTTTAATTAATTTTTATTAGAGTATAGTTGCTTTGCAATGTTGTGTTACTTTCTAATGTATAGCAAAGTGAATCAGCTATACGTTTACATATATCAATCACCTCTTCTTTGGATTTCCTTCCCATTTAGGTCACCACAGAGCACTGAGTAGAGTTCCCTGTGCTATACAGTTGGTTCTCATTAGTTACCTGTTTTATACATAGTTATCAGAGTGTCATTTTTAAGTCACAGACTATCACAGAATGTGAAAGATGCAAATAATTTTAAGTAAATGTACTTTAAAACTTTTATATCAAGTTATAAAAACTATATGCATTTATATTAAATATTACAAACATCATTTTAGGAGGCCTAAAGGAAGAAGCTGAAATTAAATGTAATAAGCAAGATAAAACATAGCAAATTTTAAAATATGGCAACCCAATAGCTTGAAGCCCATATCTTAGATCAAATAGGCAATAAGCTATAATTTTTGAATATTGCATTTATTTTCTGTTTGAATTTAACATCTCAGCACCAGATAGGAGATATTTTCATGGCATGCCATTATCTGAAACTATCATTGGCATTAATCTAATGTGGTTTCTTATCTGGTGATCAAACAATTGCAGCTGAAACATAGCTATTGTTTAAGAGAATGTCTCTTTGAAGACAGTGGTTAATTGTGTTCTCAGATCTGTTCTTTGAGTTACAGAATGAAGTCAGAAATTATTTCCTAGGCCAAATTCAAGCTCCCAAAATTATATGAATAATTCAATTAAAATGTACTCAGATGATACCAACAATTAGCAAATTATATGCTTATGAGCCTTAATCCGTAAGGCAGTAGTTGTCTAGATCATGTTGATGATCAAGTAATTATGAAGGCTTTATTAGCAAATATAATCTGTCATCAGTGTATAATAATCATGGTCATAGAATAATCCCCCTGACATACATGGAAAAATCTAGTTAAAGTTCTTATAGGTCACAGTTGAATTATAATTTTAACCAGGGATACACTATTCAATCTGTCCTACCTTTTGCTCACATATTAATAAAACTTGTACATTTCCTTTGTCCTATCCTACGATTTTTGTACAGACTGTCTTGCCTTTTCCCATTACACAATCACCCCTTTCCAGAAATGTTTAAAAATGTAATTAGCGGGCTTCCCCGGTGGCGCAGTGGTTGAGAGTCTGCCTGCCGATGCAGGAGACACGGGTTCGTGCCCCGGTCCAGGAAGATCCCACGTGCCGCGGAGCGGCTGGGCCTGTGAGCCATGGCCGCTGAGCCTGCGTGACCAGAGCCTGTGCTCCGCAACGAAAGAGGCCACAACAGTGAGAGGCCCGCGAACCCAAAAAAAAAAAAAAAAAATGTAATTAGCAATAATGAAAATGATGATGCTACTGTATATCTATACTTTCCAAGTATTCAATTATTACTCATCTACAAAATTTACTTTTCATCTCATCCTCCTACCCAACTGCCACTGGTTTACTACCTTTAACATCAGTTGGATGAGATACTTATGCACACTTGTTAATGTTAAATACGCTCAAAATTCTCTCTAATGTAACAAAATTGAATGCAGAGTAGAAATATTACACTTAGTGACACTGTCTGCCTTTGGTTAAGTTAGCACTGGTGTATATCACATTTAAAAACCTGTGGCCAGTCCCTAGAGTTCCTGCTGTCTAACCACCTGTAAAAATGGGAAATTAATATTGCTCACCATGCTGTAGAGAGTTGTGAGTATCAAAGTAGTTTAAGTGAATGTCCTTTGAAAAGCAATATCAATCTAAAAAACACAAGGTGAATGTAAGTACCTTTATTATTGCTTTAGGACTGAAGTCCACAAGTTTGTGGGACCTGGTGCATATGCTCCATTTCACTTATTGGGAGGGTCAACTATTGGTCCTAGTTGCTTCCCCAAAGCTACTCATCGACTGATTTAAAGAAACACCACTTCCTCTTTTCCTAGATGCTTATGTGTAAAAGTTAGACCAGAAGAGAGCAAAAGAGGTGGAAGAAGCACACACCTGGCAAAAGGGAAGTCACAGCCGAGCCCAAATACACCACAATCAGTTTAGCTTAAGTGTCACTTTTAGATGCTGCATTATTTGGAGACTCAGCATGAAAGCCAGGGGTCGCTTATCCCCGTGAACCAAACCCGCTGAGTTTTGCACAGTTCTAACTCAAAATGTTGAAGCAGTAAATGTTGTTAAAAATGCTTTTGTGAAAATCGATGCAATCTATTTTGAAAATGAATATTTAGTTTGTGGGACAGAATAGAAGGACTTAATATGACGTAAAAGTCTTCATTGCTTAATATGTTTTTAAAAGTGCACTGAAGGAAATTGTCCAGCATATTGAACCAACAGAAACATGATTATGGAAGGTCCTTTCTTAGTACATTTAAGCCTTTTTGTTAATTATGAATTGTAATATGATATTAGACAGTGTAATAAAAGTGAAATTGAATCCAGTGGAGACTGGTTACCACAGGGTTTAAATCCATCCGAGGGTCAGTCAATTCAGATTGTTCAGTAACAATGACAATGAAAGCAGTTCCAATTTGGAGTAGTGTAATACTTTGTTATGGTCTCTTGGACTAATATGCTTTGTGATGGAAGAAACTGAAGCTATAGAGTCAGAAGGCCTGGGTTTAAATGGTAGTTTAATTTCTTATTGAATGAGTCATGTCATCAAGCTCAAAACTGAGTATATCTGAACTATATTACTTAGCAGTGTGTTTGGCTTCAGGTAACAGAATAGCCAAATAATAATAGCTTAAATAGATATGTATTTATTTTCTTATGTTATTGGGTAGTTCACCAGCAGGGAATAGGCTGGTGAACTACCTCAGAAATGTTATCAAGGACCCAGGCTTTTTCTTTCTTTCCACCCTCCATTTCTAGTATTTGGCTTTTCACCTGTGGTGGCAAAGATGGCTTCTCTATCTCAGACCGTTATGTCTTCAGTACAGGGAGGAAGGAGGAAGGTGCAGGAAAAGGAGGGCAAACATTTCCTCCTTTTGAAGTTTTGTGTCTTTTTTTTTTTTTTGGCCATGCGGCCCGGCTTGTGGGATCTCAGTTCCCCCACCAGGGATTGAACCCAGGTCACGGCAGTGAGAGTGTGGACTCCTGACCACTAGGCCACCAGGGAGCTCCCTGTTTTGTGTTTTCTTTTGAAAAAGAAAGTTCTCCTCAGTAGACTTTTGTTTAGATTTCCTTAGCCATAACTGAGTTATATTATTTAATGCTAAGCAAAAAAGTAATGAGATTACCAGGACTGGTTTAAGCCAATCATAGATCATAACTCTGTGGCTGGAATAAGGACTTACTCTGAGTTCAAGAGATTTTCATATGAATAAGTATCAAATTCCAGTTAGTAGGAAGAGTTGAGGCAGAAGGGATGGGTCTAAGGTAAATATAAATCATTGTCTGCCACAATAACGTTCGTGGTATAACTAGACCATGCGCCTTTATTTGCCTGGGAAAATCTCAGTTTAGACCCATTGTATTTGCATAATGACTCACCATGTACCTTGGGGCAAACTTTCTGAATGGAAGAACATGGAAGTACTAAGAGGCTGGCTGTATCTTGCCATACTTCTTAAGGCATCAGCTCCAAAATGGCTCTGTGACATTGACTCATATGCTATGGATCAAAGTAAGTCATATGGCCAAGGCCTATACAGCTATCTGGGGCAGATACAGCTACTCCACTTGGACATTCTGTAAAGTCAAGTGTCAAAGGGTATATATAGTCCCAGCAGAGGATGGATCCATTTCTCTTCTGATACAAGCCTAAAAAGCAAATATGGGTTTTGGCGTGAATACCTTACTGTGAAAGTTAGCTATTTAAATTTCAGTAAGGGAGGTAGGGTAGGTGGGTGTCTCCAGTATGAGATGAGTAAATGAAGTTAGTGTTTCACTGAATAATTGGATATCTAAACAGCCCTGTTAAAAGCTACAAAGGATTATTATACATTATTGAACTCCAGGATAGAGTTGTATGATTTTTCAAACACACTCTCTAGTCATTCCAACCTGATCAATAAAATAATTTATAAATCAAGAAGTCAAGCTAATGTGTGCAAAATTAGTTTTAACTTCATTATTGGTTTTACTGAATTGTTTACCTTGCTCTTTCATTTTTAGAATAATTATTTTAGGCTATAAAAAACCTTTGGAAAGAGAGGATCTTTTCGAACTAAATGAAAGTGATTCCTCCTATATTGTGTGTCCCATCTTTGAAAAACAATGGAGGAAGGAAGTTCTAAAGAATCAAGAGAGGCAAAAAGTAAAGGTAATTAATTATTAAATTCTTAGTGCTTAATGAAAAAACTAATAAAGCTTGTTCCAAGTATGAGGTATCAATATAGAAAATACCTTAAATATGTGAAATAACAAGCCATTTCTATAAGTATAATTGGTTGTTATTGCAGCTAATGTCTGTCATCAAATTATTAAGCATCTCTTCCCTTCAAAGCTCAGGAGCAAATGTGTTGATATGTATATAATTTTGGGCATCTCACCAATATCTTTCCTCATCCATCATGGCAAAGATGGTCTGCATATCTCAGAGAATCATGTCTGTTGGTCAAAGTAAGTCATATAGTGAACAAGGCCAAAGCTTGTGGGGCAGGGATAGGTTCTCCACATGTAGCATGATACACACACACACACACACACACACACACACACACACACACACACGCATATGAATATATATATAGTCTTTAGACTTCTTGAAAAGAAAATATAATTTGAAGATAAAAACTGTATTATTTAAACAGTTTCAAAACTCACAAAAGTGATAAAATAAAATATTTTTCCACTTATGCCACGTGGTATAAATAATACCATGTGGTTTGGAGACATACCATGCCAATGATATGGGCCATATTTTCAAGTTTAGCTGAATTTATTCTTTTTTTGTTGCTTTACTATCTTTGGAGTACAATACTAATTTTATGGTTAGTTTATATATATTTTATATATTAGTTCTGTTCCCTTTTCACATTGTTTTTATTTTCTTTAATTATGTAGTCATCTTTTCATAAAGAGGCACATACCAGGAAACCATCTCTGCTCCGTGCATTGTGGAACACCTTTAAGTTTGTCCTGATTCAAGTTGCTTTATTCAAAGTGTTTGCTGATGTTTTGTCCTTCACTAGCCCACTCATAATGAAGTAAGTTGAAGTCTTGTTTTTTCTTCTTCCCACAGGAAAATGATAAGCAAATCATTCACTAAAAAAGAGTGAGATAGGTCCCAATTACAAATTTTATTTAGAATACAGGCAGTCTATTACGTTTGCCTGTGATATGAATGTGAATTATGATACTATAGTGAGTAATTACTGAAACCTACCATGTACTAAGCACTGTTCTAAAAATCTTTATATTAATTACCTTATTTAATCTTTACAGCAATCCTATGATGTAGGAAGTAATATTGTACCCACTATCACAATGCAGAAACAAAGAAATTCTAGTACTTTGCCTAAGACCATACAGCTAGAAAATGCCAGAGTTACAATTCAAATCTAGGAAATCTGGCTTGAGTATATGTTTAGAAAATGAAAGGACACATACCTCTATTTTTCTTAGCTGTGGACTTTTGGGAATTGAAATTTATCAGCCAAGGTAATAATATATAAATATATATAAATATATATGTATGTGTATATATTTATGTGTACACATAGAGAGAAAAATATTAAAGAATTTCTATAATATTTCTATAGTATCTATATGTAAGGATTCACGGGCAGACATTAAAATTGAGTCCTTGACTATATGCTACCTTTTTCAAGGGGACATTTCCTTACCTCTGCCTGTCATATGAAGGAAACACAAGGAAACATTGTTTCACGAACTAATAATTATATTTTTTGTTTTGAATAAGTTTTCAAGTTGGAGTTTTTAAGAACAATTTAATTCATGAAAATAGAATTAATCCTGAGTTGCCTGGATCCCAAATAATATTCAGGCACATATTTATCCAGTATTTATTAAGCACCTACTACATGCCAAACTGTTCTAAGTAGACCATGGGGATAGAGCAAAAATCAAAAAGTCCCTGCTCCGATGACACTTAGAGGGGAGAGATAAATAATAAACAAATGAATAAATATAAATTGTATTAAGAAATAATCAGTGCTAAGGAAAGCAAAGTGCAGCAAGGCTATAGGGTAGGGAATACCAGTCTGGGGAACTGGAAGTGGTTTTTTTTCTGTGAGGTGATTAGGGAGGACATTTGTTATAAGGTGAAACTTGACCAAAGTTCTGAAGGAAGTTAGGGAGGAAGCCGAGACCATATCTATTGCATGGCTAAAGCCATGAAGCAGCAGCATGCTTGGTGTCTTTGAGGACCCTTAGAAGGCAAGTGAGACTGGAGCAGGGAAGCTGAGAGGTCAGAAAAGGAAAGTGATAAGACTGAGGTCAGAAAGATTTGGGGGCTGGAAAAGATTTTGAAGGGCCTTGTGGAACGTGATATATTAGAAGGGAAACCTTTGAAAGATTCTGAGCGTGGAATGATATGATTAGACTTCAGTTTTACAGGAATCACTCTAGCTGCTGCACAGAGAATAAAGTAGAGCAAGAGTGGAAGAAGGAACAGCTAAGATAATCCAGGCAAAAGTCAATGATGGCTTCAACTAGGTTGTAGCAATGAAGGTGACAAGTGGTCAGCTTCTGGCTTTATTTTAAAGGTAGAGTCAACATAATGCACTGATAGATTGAACGTAGGTTGAGAGAGGAAGAAAGGAGTCAAGGATGCTTCCGAGTTTCTGTTAAATCACAAGGTAAATGAGTTACCATTTATGGAAGGTATGGAAGGCTCAGGAAAGAGTCAAGTAGGGAGTGGAAGTTGCTAAATTTGAAATATGTATTAGCCATTCTGCAGAAAAGAATTAAAATAGCAGACCTGACTGCTGTCGCTGGCAGTTGGAACTTGAATTTCAGGAGGGTTCCCACTACCTTAACTGATAGGAGTGGTTCAGTATGTCCAGACTGTTTATACAGTCAACACGGTCCATGCTGAATACCTGCTTTCCTTCTGGGAGTCTGGAATTTGGGCGTGTGTTAGGAAAAGTACGCCCTGGATGCTGGGTCTTTAAAGGGCTACCCTGGTGGACAACATTTCACATATTTGCCACAACTAGCTGCTGGGAGAATTAAGAGAGTTCTCTGTGACTCTACTGAGAGAGGACTTTTTGAAGCTTGTACCTGTTTTCCCCTAGACTTCACCCCATTCACCTTTTCTCTTTGTTAATTTTTTTTTGCATCCTTTCACCATAATAATTAATAGTCGTGGATATGACTATATGTTGAGTCCTAAAAGTTGTTCTAATGAATCATTTAATGAGGGAGTGGTCTTGGGGATCCCTGACAGACATTTAGGTAAAAAGTTTGAATGAGCAATCGTCTACATAAGTTTGGAGTTAGGAAAGATATAGGCTAGAGTGATAAATTTGAGAACTGTTCCAAATTAGACTAGGTATATCAAGCTACTGTTCTGGATGAGCTCACCTTAGTTACAGTGAAGGGAAGTAAAGATGTCCACACAAAAAATCACAAGCGTTTTCAGTGTGTAGAGGTGGTGAAGACAGGGAAATCCATCAAAAGATAGTGAGAAGGAGTGGCTGGAACAGACAGAGGAGAACCTAAAGAGAATGGTGTTAAGGAATCCAAGGGCAGAAGCTGTTTTATTGCTGTCAGAAAACTGTTTCTGTTGTTTTTACCCCAGAGTCTCTATTTGGTTCCCTTGTCTATAGACATATAAGCCTAATGTCTCCTGGATTAACTGTCCCCTCCTCCCACAGACAAGATAAGAGATGTCTCATTCCCCCTGCCTCTGCCCCTCACCTCTGAATATCCCAGTTATTTTTAAATAGTTACCACTGAGTAATTACCATTCATCTATGACCAGAAGTCCATCTATGAGAGATGCATTGGCCAGCATCTTCTCTCCTGCCCTGTTCTGGTGATCTGTTGCTGCAAAATTAGCCACTTCAAAACTAAGTGGTATAAAACAACCATGATTTTATTATGTGCAGGATTTTGTGGACCAGGGCTTCAGAGAGAGATTGTTTTTCTCTGCTCCACAATGACTGGGGAATTCACTGAGTAGCTTGAAGGGTTGAGATAGTTGTAGCAGCTCCAATAGAGACATACATCTGGGAACTTGGACCTGGCTGTTGGCTGAGTGATACCTTGATTCTTTTCTGCATCTGCTGGTACCAGAATATGAAGATGGCTTCTAAACTTATATGCCTGATGCCTGGGCTAAGATGGCTGGAAATAGTCATCTCTCTTTTCCTCTTATTCTCTCTCTCCACAGCTTCTCTGAATGGTTAGCTTAAGCATTGAGGTCTCTGGTTAGTTGATCTTCTTACATAGCAGCTGGATGTTCCCAGAGTAAACATTCCAAGAAGTTTAGGCAAGTCGTTTTACGACCTAGACTTGGAAATCCCAGAATGTCACTTGGGCCATATTAGTTTAGTCAGGCAATTCCTTAATTCAGCTCAGATCCAAAGGGAGGGGAATTAGGTTCAAATTCAAAATGATAGGAGTAGCAAGTGATCCCCAGCCATTCTTAGTCATGTTCTGATTTCCATTTGCCAATGACTGACTACTGCTCAAGAAACTCATTAGAGAATCTCACTGTGGTCACTCTTTCTGAAAATAGTTAGAGACGATAGCAATTCAGTGTCTCTGTATTCGTCCCAAATGTGCCGTCTGTGCAGTACAGAATTGTTAAGTCCTTGGCTGTGGGGTAGAGAATTTTCTCCCTAATTTTGTCACACACTTTTTATAACATACTAGCTTGATCACACCTGCAAAACAGAAATTTCAACATTGCATTGAAATGAGTCAGTTGACATGTCTTTCTCCCTGAGTAGACTATATGTTCCTCCAGGCACTTATTCAATTTTTGTGTCCTTAGCTCCTAGCACAGAGCCTGGCACGTAGAACGAAATACAATTCCTGAATGGATTACTGAGTAAATGGACTTATCCAGAGCTATGCTTTTCCAAGAAACACTCATTCTAGAGTAGCTGAATAAGCTTACAATTCCCACACTGGGGAAGAATTGAGTCATCAGAATTTTAGGAATTTATATGATCATGTCTCATGTATAATAAATATATCAAAATAATACTTTCATCAATTTACTAGTAGAAGAAATTTGTTTCTTGTTGATCATGGTGCTTACTCTTTTTTCCCATTTATTGGGATTTTATTCTAATGTCAGTCAAACAAAAAAAATGAGTATTTATATCTGATATCATGAATATAGATTTACGGTCTTTACCATGCCTTGATCACAGATTATTTACAGTATTTCTTGGAAATATTTTTAGTAGTTCCATATTAATATAGTATCTGGTGATAGTCATTTAGTTGTTTGATTTTATGAAACAGGAAACAGTCTAATTGATAGATGTATCTACAGTAAAAAGAATAGTGCTTCTCGTTCAGGAAATTTAATTCTGAGACCAGGAAGTTATTTAGTAAGTTGCTTTTGTAAAAATAATTTGGAGTCCCAATGGATGGCATCTGATAGACATCAACTAAATATACAGAACCTGCTGTTGTATAATGTTTATGTGGGTTGTGGTCACTTCAAATAGTGATTTTCAGTGACTAGAGGTTTATAGTAGGATTTTTAGAGGCACTGGTATTATATTTGATTCTAAGGTACAATTTTAATAAAGATAATTTCTGAAGTACTTGGTTTATAAAGCAATTCAGGCAACATGAATTGCATTTAAGTATACATCTATTAACTGTCCAAGCTGTTAATAAAGTAGATCGAAGCTTAGATAATTAGAACCATCCCCATTGTCTAGGTGTACCCAGCTTTGACCTTAATCACGATGACCATGTTGTCACCAAACTTAAGAGGAAATAAGTAAAGGCAGAGGAGAGGGAAATTGGATATGCATAAAAGTAATAAAAGGTGAGCTATAATTCAGGCCTTTAAAGAAACAATGTCTTTTTGCCATGCTAAGAGATTCTCTACTTAAGTTCTAATTGTCATGTTTCCCTATATTTAACAAAATGCATGATTTCAGCAAAAAAAAAAAGAAAAACTTTTAAATGTCTCTGTGTCTCAATTTTCATGATGAAGTTAGGCCAGAACATTTAATTATGTGATGAGATTGCCATATGAAAATTAGAAAATATCCTTCTACCCACAAGCCTGCGATAATAATTGTTGATTCTATTTATTATATATGCTTGAGTAAAAATAAAGGGGGAAAGGATGCCAAATTGGGCAAGTAAAAAAAGAACAGGCAAGAGTATGTGTGTGTGTGTGTGTGTGTGTGTGTATGTGTAACATTTTGACAACACTTAATTCACATAAGCATTTTATTACTTCAGATGTTTAACATTTCTTCCCTTTTCTCAATTTGCATATGACATTCAGGCAAATGATCATTTTCTGTGAACACCGCCCAGATTTTGGCTGGAGTGGCTATGGTTATGCTTTGGCACTTTTTGTCGTAGTCTTCTTGCAAACCCTGATCCTTCAGCAGTACCAACGTTTTAACATGCTCACTTCAGCAAAAATTAAGACAGCTGTAATTGGACTGATCTACAAGAAGGTAAAAGATTGAAGAAATTCCCCATTTCAAAATGAACTGTATCCTTATGTGCTTTCAAATAAGGGATCTGGAAAAATAGAAGTGTATATTAAAAAGTTCTAGTGTGTCCTTTGAATATACATTTATTTTGCTATGAAAGAACTTTGACTCATCAATATTGGTTGCATTAATTTCTTTGTAGGCTCCTCTTTCTATAGTCCCTGAATCTTCTAGTCAACTCTAATCCATGAAATTAAATGATATTCTGTGTCCACTGTTACATCACTTAACTCCTCCTCAGAAAATGAATGGGATTGAATGTTTTATGGTTGTCTATATTTATGTAACAATAAAATCTCTTTCCATGATCATTTTACATCTACATAGTACCTTTTACTTCCTCTGCTCACTATGTCTTTTCATGCAACAAAGCCATCGTTCTCTATACAGTCGTTACCTATTTCTCTTTGAGTCTAAGCCCTCTCCCACCCACCCCAAAACCTAGCTGATCCTTATACCTAGCATGACCCTAAAGTTTAGTTTGTCCTTTCTTGAAAATACAATTTTAAATACCACCTCTTTACCATTCAGAGCCTTTTATTTACATGACAGTTATAAACAATTATAAAGAGTTTCCTCCCTCCCGTAGTTATCACTGAGTTATTAAATCAACAGGTGTATTTTGCCTTCTTAGTCTGTACTCCTCTATAAATTGTGGGCTCTTCAGATTTGGAATAGGAACTTTTTAACCTGTTGTACCTTTATCATCTAAGAGAGTGGCTTTTACACATTTTTATAAAAGTTGGAAGACTGAGTAAGTGAATAAATGAGCCGTTGCCTTCAAGAAATTGGGGAGAACTATTAACATACATAATAAATGTGTGGAACTAAATGCAGATATTATAAGAGATCAGATAAGCAGGAAATCTACAATGTGTGTAGGCAGTTAAGGAAGGTTTCACATAGAAAGGAGACTTGAAATAGTCTTTCGGAAAGCTGTAGGGTTTGTGTAAGTGGAAGGAAATATAATTTGGGTTGACCTGGGCATGAAGTGTTCCAGACCATTTGGCCATATTAGGCCAAAATGGAGGCATAGAGTGATTTTAGAGACTCTGGAATGACCCAAGCTCAATTGAGCCAGGAAATACTGAACTTGAATTAGAGCTAGCTCTGTATAACATAGCCCAGATACAGGGTCAGAGAGGCTGCCCCAGTTGTAATTTTAACGGCTGTAAATTCTGAGAATTTACAGAATCCAAATATGGAGAAAAGATTGATCAAAGAGTCTAGGAATCAGTTTAAATGCTAACATTTGTTTTCGATATATGGTCTGTATGGAACAGGACTTCATTCATTGATTAAAGCAAAGGAGTTTAGGTATAGGATTTGGGTGCATTTACAAGCATAAAAGAGTAGATTGCAGTAGGAATTGGAGCAAACTGTCCGAAATAAAAAGGAAAATCAAGTGCTATGGGTGAGTCCATTATAAAGGTAAAAAGACCCTGGAGATAATGTAAGAGGGAACAGAGTCTACAGGAGTGAGACTGTATGGGTCCTTAGAGAATGTTTAATAACAAAGGGCACTCAAGGATCAAAGGAATACAGCAATCAAGCTGGTTCAGTGGATCCTGCAGTAGGGATTAAGATTTAATTCTAACTCCATCAGACAAACAGCGGAAGACATTAGTAGTGACCTGTAGTGCTAGAATGCTCTGGGATAGCCCATGCAGGTGGCACAAATATAAGGCAGTCTTTCTTCTGAGTCTCTTATCCTACATCCGCTTTCCAGAGGGACTAACTGGGGTTGCTAAATTTCCCTTCTCCTATACAGATTTTAGGATTCTGATTTTTTTCATATTTAGATAACTTCAGATCCTAAATGGCTCTCATAGTGGCACCAGATGACCCATGTTCATCTGACATTGGCCCTCCTTCATCAGGGATTTGTTGTTACACTGGGTTAAAGCTGGTCTCACACCTTTTTCTTGGTGAGGAAGGGAGGTGTTTGAAAGCTCTTGCTCTGTATCCATCCACATGACTGCTGCTACTTTGGAGTAAAGTTCAGGGAACATCATTTTTTAAGGTTTGTGGGGAAGAACACAGGCCTCCTTCCACTTGATCACTGCACGAGTCTTTGGGTCTTAAAACTCAGATTTTGTTACCCCTTAGCTCTCCGTTGCAGGCTCCATGGGAATTCTTTTTTTTTTTTTTTTTTTTTTTTTTTTTTTTT